GGACAAAACTTGAAATACGCGAAACATATTAACAGATATTTCCTAAGAGACAATATACAAATGGCCCATAAACAATGGAAAAGATACTTAGTATTAGTTAGTCATCAGACAAATTAAAAACAAAAACACCCACTTCCACCAGAATGGCTGAAGTTAGAAAGCTAACACCACTAGGTGTTGGAGAGGAAAGGAAACAACTGTAATTCTCAAACTTTAGCAGCTAAGATTCATGTTGGTAAAATCTTTAACCACAATAACCCCAAACTACAAAGAAACCAAATGTCTATTGACAGGAAAAAATTGTAGCAAGTTTATATTATGGAATATTACTTGGCAATAAAAAGAAACAACTGCCACACATATGAATGAATTATGAATGAATTTATAAAATATACTGAGCTGTAACAAGACACAAAAGTGTACATACCTGGTGATTCTATTTATACCAAATTCTTGGAAAATAAAGTTTTTTTTTGTTTTTGTTTTTTGGTACTACCAGGGATCAAACTCAGGTCCTTCTGAGGCAGGTGGTGGAACCACTGAGCTAAATCCCCAGTCCCAGAAAATAAAGTTATTGTACAGTGACAGAGAGCAAATCAATAATTGCCTAGGCTCATGAGTAGCTGGGGACAGGAAAGGATGGAGGGTGCTTTTTATTGTGCTGGAAATGTTTTACATCATAATACTCATGGTTACTACCTCAACACCTTAATTTGCCAGAATTCATTGACATATACCAATTAAATGAGGTTATTGTAATGTATGAAAATAATAATTAGGTCATCAACTTAAAAAGAGTAACATTCTCTTTTGGTCAATTTTTGATGTCAACTTGACTGGATGAGAGATGCCTACAGAAGTTGTAAATCACTACTACTGAGTGTGCCTTTCAGGGTCTTTCCAGAGAAGACTGCATGTGGGTCAGTGAGTTGAGTGGAGAAGAGCTGCCCTGAAGGTGGGAAGTGATCTTCCAATGAACTGTGAAATGATGGGAGAGGAAAGCACAAGTGCAAAACTCCCTGGTTCTTCTTCCCCGAATGGGGTGTGTTTTCTCCTATTCCTTCCCTGGAACATCAGACCCTAGGTTCTTTGGCCTCTGGGATGCCCTGCCTCTTGTCTGGCCATCTGGAAGTTCTAGAGGTTTTGGCCCTCTATTGGGGGCTGCGCTATAGGTCTTTCTTGTCCAGAGGCTTCCAGTCTCTGAGTTATTACTGCTGTCTTCTCTGGTTCTCTGGCTTGGAGAAGGTCATCATGGAACTTAGACAACTCTATGAGTGTGTCAGCCAGTTTCCTAATAAATCCACTTTCATAGGTATGTGTGTTTTTTGTATTTAGTGTTTTATTTGGTACTGGTGATCGAACTCAGGACCTTGTGCTTGCAAGACAAGAGGCAGAACCACTGACCTATATCCCGGGTCCTCATATGTATGTATTTTATTGATTCTGGTTCTCTGCAGAACTCTAATATAATTGCCAAAAATAATTTGCTTCATAAGATATAATTTCTTTAAATTATTCCCAAACTTAAGTCTAATATACTTGATAACTTTGACATACTTGAGGGAGGTAAGCAGAAAAGAGGACCAACGAAAGAGGGCAGGAGACCTCATGCTGATTTCACTGCTTCAAAGGAGTCCTGAAGCGAGCAGCAGACTATCCTGAGTGGTGGTGTGGTCTATGGATTTCAGGTTTTGACCAGCAGTGGAGCAAGAGAAAAAAAGAAGGAAGATCAAGAAGTAGGTGAAGGAAAAATCCAAATAAGAAATGGATATGACTGCAAATTCTACCTTTTTCACTGGCACATATGAAAGAGGAAACTCTTAAGGTCCAGGGGAAAGTAGAACAGGTTGGTGCAGTTTCTTGAGCACTAATGCCACTGTTGCTTGGGTGGAAATGGAGTCTGTCCCTTGTGCACTGTATGATTATGATTAACACCATCCCTAGCCTCTGCCCTCTAGATGCCACCCCCGTAACCTCCACCAAAAAAATGTCTCATGACATTGCCAAGTTCCTCTGGAGTGCTACATTGTCTCAGGTTGAGAATTACTGGATACATGGATATGTTCCTTATTGCTGCATAATATTATCCCCAAAATTGAGTGGCATAAAATAACAAACATTTATTAGGTCACAGTTTCTATGGGTTAGGAATGAGAAGTTCAAGTTCAAGGTCTCTGATGAAGTTGTAGTAAGGATGCAGTCCTCTGAAGGCTTGTCTTAGGCTGAAGGACCCTATTCTGTAACGTGGCATTCATGCAGCGATTAGCAGGAGGCTTGGGTCCTTGCCAATTGTTGATAAAACATGTTAGTCCTTGCTACGTAGGCTCCTCGTAGGGCTGCTTTATGTATCCTTGTCCTTGACAGCTGCTGATGATGTGGGGGAGTGGAGGGGACACATGATGCTTTGTCATGACCTAGTCTTGGAAGTATCAGTTCTGCCTTTTTTGGGGTCCAGTAGAACCATATTGCTAACCATAACCTACACTCACTGGGAAGATAATTAAGGTGCAGTTTGTGAGGGAAGGAGTACTAATAAATTATGGGTGTATTTTAAGACCTCTATAAAAAGACAAAGTTTAAAATGGGCCGAGAATAACATTAGTTATTTTTAAAAAATGAAAAATCAACACTCCCAAATAAACCATAAAGGATTAAATTACTTGATGAAAAAGAATTGTCCAACAAGTAGAAAAAAAAGTAAAAGACAGATAAATTCTATGACCCTAGATGGAAAGGAATGTGAAGAGTAAAAATAAAAATAAAAAAAAAGGAAGAGACCAATAGTTTGCCCTAGGATCAATACCTACATTATATAAAGTGCTCATTTGTGAATATTCCAGGAAGAAAACGGACAATGCTGGACCAACAATAAGATACCATGTTTACTCATATGAAAGTACACCACAATCTCTTGGGCACAGTGAAGCACATTTACTTTCATACAGTGCTATAGGAAAACTGATAATAACAATTATAGCAACAGTAATCCATTGATTATGTGCCATCTTTATGAATTAGCTAACGTATTTTACTTGTAGCAAGTCATTTACTTTTTACTACAACATCACGTGGTAGCACTACACCAATTTTCTAGCTGAGATACAATCAGATTAAGTAACTCAGCCAAATCTCATAGCTTGTAGGTAGGTAGCAGCAGGATCTGCTTATCCATTAGGCATGTTAGGCACAGCGTCTGAGGCTCACAATAGTTGTAGAGCCCACAAAACCACTTTACTTCTTTTAAAATCAGAAGGGGGAATATATATACGTTTAGGATAAAGAAAAGACGTTAACGTATAATGTCAATACATTTGTTTCTATACCAATGTAGTTAGAAAATATGGTTTGTTACTGCTTCATGGAGAAAGAGGCTCATACAGGTAAAAATGCCTAGGGCAACTGAAAGAATGTTGCCTGCAGTGGCAGAGCTGGGTTTTGATCTCAGGCAGAGTGTTATCTAAGCATAAGTTTTCCCTGCAAGGCAAATTGCCAATGTGTTTCAAAAGGGCTGAACGTGTTCACAACTTTTGACTACGTTTAAGGATTTAACCTAAGACAGTAAGAAAATGGACAATGATTTATGAAAGGATATTTAAAAGTGTTCATCTGAAGCCAAAGAGATGTTCAATAGTTAAAATAAATACCAATATGAGGTGTCAACTTAGGGGACTAGTAGAGTACTAGGAGCTTCTTTACAGTGCTGAGGAGGGAACAGCGATGGGGAAGCTGAACGTGAGACACACTAGAGCAGGAAACAGAAGGAGGAGTTGCACAAGCTCTGGAGCTGGGGATAAGTACGAAGTTGAGGGAGGCTCTTTATGCACAGTGTTGAATTTATGTAACGGGATCTGACAGCAAAATAATCTTGGTTGAAGTACAGACTTGAGCCAGTACAGTCGAAGAAATGTCAAGGGTTTTTGTAACAGGAGAGCCAGAGCAGGTGAACAAGATGGTGGCCTCGATTATCATGCTAAATCTGGCACAAAAGCTCTGAAGGCGCAATGGAGTATTTGAATCAAGGCAGTGACATTCTTTGATGTGCATTTTAGAATGAGCTTTGTAGATCATGTGGGTATGCACCTACTTCAAGTGTGAAGTCAGGGGGCAGAAACTGATGCTCTGGAGTAGAAGGGGATGTGCATTTGTGCAGTCCATACACCATTCTTTCAAAAGGTTTAGAAAAAGAATTGGAAAGGAGCTTTTAGGTCAAGGGAAATTTTGGAAAACAAAGTCTTAAAACAGGATTATGCTGGGCCGGGGATTTAGCTCAGCGGTTCGGTGGCCTGCCTTGCAAGCACAAGGACCCGAGTTCAATCCCCGGTACCAAAAAAACAAACAAAAAACAAAAACAGGATTATGCTGAGAAGTTACAGCCAGTAGAGGGTGAAGTTAAGGATATACGAAGAAGGAACAGACAGTAGAAGGTCAGCTTTGGAGGAGTGAAGACATCTAGCATCAGACTGGAGAATCAGTAAGCTTGGCGGTGGATGGGGGTGATACGTGGAGGCTGGCTGAGATGTTTAGGATAAACCTATAGAAATCTATGCCCGAAGACCTTTACTATCTCTCCAAGTAGAAGACTAAGTCGTACGGAGTGTCGTGTAGTCATCACTGAACTCTTTGCAAATGTTTTTCTTCCAAAAGCCGTACAAATTACCAACAGAACTTTGCTAAACCAGCTGACTCCATTGTATAGTGGAGCTAACAGACGCTATCTTATGGGACTGCTGCGTGGATTAATTGTGCTGACACAAGTACTTGCTCACTAAGCACCAGCTTTAGCATTTGGCTGATGTGGTGGCGGGGGACGAACAATTTGATTACTAATAAAAACGGACTGCGAGTCTGGTATGACCATCTGCTAAGTGCAATTATTTACTCTTGCAATGGGTTTCAAGTCAAATACTAAACTCGGAAGCTAGGTCAAGAAGTATTTATTAACAGCCGACTTTGTCTGTACAGCGTTGCAGAAAAGAACACCAAGGGTCGGAGGATCGTACCTGAGGTCACGTACAGGGTTCCGCCGCGGACCGGAAAGTCAAGTCAGCAAAGTAAAGAGCAAGAGTTCAGAAAAGCCTCTTCCCAAACCTCGGCTGCGGCCCCGCCCCTTCCACCGGTTCAGGCCCCGCCCCCCTCTCCTATTGGCTGGCCCTCTACCTCCACTCGACCACTCGGAAGACCCGGAGGAGTGGAGTTTTCCAAAGGCAGCCTTGGTGCGCCCTTGCTGCGCATGCTCGCGGGAAGCCAGATTCCGGGTCCGGAGTTGGAGGCTTCGGGCGGCCGCAGCTCAGCTCGGCGC